TTTGGTTCGCTCAGATAATAAAATTGTAGAGGAACATTCCAGCAATCTTAGTGTTCACTTTCTATTGCTCGGAAAGTAATTAATTAGCAATTCATCATCTGGAAAGCGCCACTAAAGCAGCCAACGTCACTGTTAGCTGGAAGATGAAACACAATGCGAGAACTATTGTGAAATTAAGTGGTCTAAAAGGGAGATAATAGACCGCCCCGTCACGTGGACAAACAAATACCAATACGACTCTTGAGAATTCGTATTTGACATTAAAATGTCATTGGATATATGGCAAGATCCATTATAGAGTAACTCTGGGTAATTTCTGGCATTTATTTCTATCTTGTTATATTGAGATAGCCTCGGTTTGTTGTCGGAAAGTCGATAGGTACTTTTTAGTTTAACTTTTGTAAAATTATTTATTATCACACTAGAAAAGCATTTAATGATTCTTACATTAATTAAATAATATGTATTCCAGGTGTTTAATTGCCTTTGAAGTTCTATCATAGATCTGTGAATTGTTTATAAAAACCGTGTACTTTTCTATGCGTTAATCAGTATATAACATACCATAGACTCATAGCCTAATTCTGTCTTACCCAAATGACACGACTATTACCTGTTTTTATTACATGTTTTGCAGTAGATTACTGAATTATAACGGTTAATTATATTCTGATAATTTCACAGTAATGATTACCAAATATAATTTCACAGTAGCCGAACTATATTTGGCGTAAAAATTAAATATTTATCATTACTGAATGTTTTTTTCAGCGGAAATGTAGTCAATCATCATAATAAAAAATGTACGTGATAACTGTAGTTCGTAAATATTTACGAACGTTGTGCTGAAAAACATCTAAAATCTAAAAATAATCATGGAATTATATTTTGCTTCAACATTGTGACGTCATTATTTGATGACGTCATGAAGATAAGAGCATGACGTTACGCGGCAAAAATCAGTAAAATGGTGTAGAAATCGTTAAAAAATCATGAAATAAACAGAAAATTTGTTTGTTTTACATGTAAGATCAAATAATATTTCACTCGTGAACCCCAGCTATTATATTTTCACTCGTGTTCACTCGGTGAAATATTTTTCGATCTTACACTGAAACAAACAAATATCCTCTATATCTTAAGTCTGAGTCTATGAATCTCTTATGATTAAATTATCTTTTTTCTTAAAATAATATTGTAAATACATGTATAATGAACAGTCATGCATGTCGTAAACTCAATAAAATAATTCACTTGTTTTAAAAGAATACCCTTCCGACAAACATAGTAAAAGTGTGAAGAAACCTTTTACCTCTATGCACAACAAAATGTAATCTTGTACTTTCTACATCACGCAGTTTGATTTTAATGCTCATTTGATAAAAAAAAAATCTGATTATGACAAAGAACTACATGTACTTAACAATGGCTGTCTTAGACACAAGAAAGCAAAATGTTCAAGTGTCACTTAGTTAAACTTACTCTGGTTATGGCCCTGGTTCGAAATCAATTAGAAAAAGGATGTCCTTAATTACAAGTTTGGTTAAACTCCGGAAGACAAAACAATTTTATAATTTGGTGTGATATTGGATAAGTTTGGTGATATTTTCACTGGCCGACAAGAATTGTTTATGAAAATTCACCATTTATCCGTTTTGAATATTTGTAGTACAGTTTCGAAAAATGAATATGTTAATTGTGAATAATGATGTAAGGCAAACGTGTCTGAACAATTTGAACGTGAAATATTTTCCTACAGTTAAATGTCCCACCGATTTTCATATCGTTCTGTTTACGTAATATCGTGCATTACCTCACAAAGAATAGTTTATTTTAATGCAAGACAGTTCATTTCAGTACAAGACAGTTGGCTACACTACATGACGGTTAATTACAATACAGGTCAGTTAATTAAAAAACAGGTCAGTTCAGTACTGTACAGAGCAGTTCATTATAATACAGGACAGTTCATTACTGTAAAAAGCAATACATGTACATTATAATACAGGACAGTTCATTATTGTACAGAGCAGTTCATTACAATACAGGACAGTTCATTACTGTACAGAGCAGTTCATTATAATACAGGACAGTTCATTACTGTACAGAGCAGTTCATTACAATACAGGACAGTTCATAACTGTATAGGACAGTTCATTAGAATAAAAGACAGATCATTGCAGTACATGAAAGCTCATTACAGTACAACACAATGCATCACAGAACTGGGCATTTAATCATACTACAGGACAGTACATTACAGGGCAATTATTTACAAAACAGGACAGTTAATTACCGCACAGGACAGTTAATTACAGTACACGACACTTTGTAACACTACAGGTCAGTTCATTACTGTACAGAGCAGTTCATTACAATACAAGACAGTTCATTACTGTACAAAGCAGTTCAGTACAATGCAGGATAGTTCAATACTGTACAGAGCAGTTCATTACAATACAAAACAGTTCATTAATGTACAAAGCAGTTCATTACAATACAAAACAGTTCATTAATGTACAAAGCAGTTCATTACAATGCAGGACAGTTCAATACCGTACAGAGCAGTTCATTACAATACAAAACAATTCATTACTGTACAAAGCAGTTCATTACAATGTAGGACAGTTCAATACTGTACAGAGCAGTTCATTACAATACAGGACAGTTTATAACTGTATAAAGCAGTTCATTACAATACAGGACAGTTCATAACTGTATAGGACAGTTCATTAGAATAAAAGACAGATCATTGCAGTACATGAAAGATCATCACAGTACAACACAGTGCATCACAGAACTGGACATTTAATCATACTACAGGACAGTATATAACAGGGCAATTATTTACAAAACAGGACAGTTAATTACCACAAAAAGCAGTTCATTACAGTACACGACACTTCGTAACACTACATGACAGTTCATTACACTACAGAACAGTTCATTACAATACCGGACATTCCATTATAACATGGACAGTTCATTATAATTACAGGGCAATTTAATACAATACAGGAAAGTTAATTACAATGCAAGGCAGTTCATTACAGTAGAGAACAGTTTATAATAGTACAAGACAGGTCATTATTACACAGTACAGTTCATTACAATACAAGATACAAGTACATTACAGAATAGGACAATTCATTACAATACACTAATAAAGGCGAGTTTAATACAATAAGGACAGTTCATTACTGTACAGGACAGTTGATTACAATACAGGACATTTCTTTACACTATAGGACAGTTCATTACATTACAGGGTAATAAAATACAATACAAGACAATTAGTTACAGTACAGATCAATTCACTACAGTACAGGACAGTTCATTATAGTACATAAAAGTTCTGTTCATTACTCTTCAAGATAGTCCATTACAGTACAGGACAGTTGATTACAATTTAAGACAGTTCATAACAATACATGATAGTTCATTACAGTACAGGAAAGTTTAATACAATACAAGACAGGTAATTACAGTACAGGACATTTCATAACAGTATGTACAATTCATTACAATATAAAACAGTTCATTAAAGTGCATATACATGAGAGTTCGTTACAGTATAGGACAGTTCCTGAAAGTACAGCCAGATATGAATAACAAATAAGACCACATAACTGAATAGTGTACAAATAAAGTACGTTTGTGTAATGTACAGAAATACTGTACAACAAAAATAATATACTACATTTTTGCAGAACAACACAATGCAGGAGTATATATAAACTGTATAATAATACATGACAAGACATAGTTCTATACATTTAGTGAAGTCAAATCTTTGAACAAAGGCCATCCAAATCAAAGACTGTATATGATTTTTATAGACAAACGGTCTTTATTTGGATGTGACTTTGTTCTATTTAATTATTGAAAGTTTTTTTTTAAAATGGTCTTTAGTCACAGGGTGATTTTTATTCGGAGGTGATTTTTCATACACGTTTGACTGTATTGTACAGCATGTAACCGTAGTGCATATTTCATAATACCACACTACAGTTAATTACATTGCATAATACTTTGTACAGTGTAGTACAGTACTTTTATTTGTAGTATAGTACTTTGTGGTACAGTACTGTACTTTGTAATACAGCACAGTACTTTTTTAGTATAGTACAATACTTTTAAGTACAGTACTTTGAGGTACAGCACAGTATTTTGTAGTACATTTCTGTAAAGAACTTTGTAGTACAATATAGTACTTTGTAGTATCATACTGTACTTTGTGGTTATTAATACGTTATGAGGTAACGGAAGTTCGATTTAGCTTGGCTTATCAGAACCTAAGTTGATCTTATCATAAGCATTTGAATATGAAAATACATTTCAAAAAACGAAACAGCTAGGCTTATGTAACACGCTCTAATTATACGCACATACATTGTGTTAATAGCATACAGGCTCATATCAGCATTGCCATAATAAATAAAACTTGTAAGTTTTAATTGCACACTTGATATTTGGATAGCCACGTTTGATTATAATGAGTATTACTCCATTTGTCTGCCCTATGTGAATATTAATGTTCAATAACCTAAAAAGTAACTAAAAGTACATTTTCAAAATAAAAATTCATAAAACTAAAGCAAACATTTCATGAGATTTTCGGCTGTAACACTTTCAAACTGTCCCAATAAATATCGTGAAATGTTTTCTAAAAACATTTCATAGTGAAATCACATGGTACAAGTTGGTTTGGATACAGCGCAATTGTTATAAATTGTTTATGCGATATTACCATGAATCTCTAGATTTAATTTTTCTATATCATCACTTACAACTTGAGTGTATATTTAATGTATCACTTCCCGTAGTCTACATCAAATTACCAAATATTATAATAAATTTATGCTGATTAACATGCAAGTTTTCATTAGTTAAGAAAAATGTTCCAACCGCTTAAATTTCAGCAAGGTTCTGTTTATATAATTCAATATTTAACATAAATCAACGTAAATACTTTATAAATATAAGCTATTGCCACTAACCTATCAAAATGACGGTCCATGTTTGGGCACGGTTGATCTTTCTAGCAGTTTAACTTTGGAAAGTGAAATTATCTGGACCGCTTCTTCTGTCTAATGGCGCTAAAGTGACGTCGCTAAGAAACAATGTCATGTGACTTCCGGTTCCAGGCATTGTTCAGCAACATCCGTTACTTTCGAGCTGCGCATTTTGCTTTTCTTGTATAAAATTTAATGTTAACAAAATATCCATGGTTTGAACTTTCATTCTGGACGTAAGTTATCAATGAAAAGCTAAAACTTTGTCATTGCAATTTATATCTGACCTTTTTGGGGTAAAATACTAGTTAATAATAATAAAAGATAAAATGTGTTCTATTCTTTATTTAATGTCAAAGAATAGATCTACTATAAAAAAAGATTCTCGGTCAAAACATGTACATACTTACAAAAAATAATTTCTAATAGAATTGAAAATAGATTTTTCAGAGTTGGAAAACCTCAGTATATGAGTCTGATTAATGTCTAAATAAAATGGATTTTTAAAACAGAATATGATTTTGAAAATTTATCAATAACGTTTTACAAAATTTAATGTATTAATCATCAAATTCAAATTGAAAAAAAATGGATAGATTTTGTAATTTGGACAGAAGGTTTTAAATTTTTGGTGTATTTTTAAACAATACGCTAGATTATTGACTCCATTATTTATTTAATTGGTTCCATTTTCCTCACCTAAGAGAGCAATATTCAGATAATTTTAGTTTCATAAAACAAAAAGTACAAAAATGTTGAATAGTATAAATGCTTTACTTAATTTATATAGCAGTCATCTGCAAGATTTTTAATACTATTGTAGCTATCTTTTCATGTTCCAATTTTTATTCTCTAATTCCAAAATTGACAAGTTTCTATTCTTATTATTTGTATGTACAGTACTGTACATGTGTTTCTGTTTACAACATTGCCATGGTTACACTTTGTTAAGCAAGGCCTGTGACAGACTATCAGAAAATATACTTTTAATAAAAGCAAATGAAAAAGTATTTCTTAAATGTGAATGCGGGGAACACTTACGTAGTACTTTCCTTATTTGAACTAGATTTCACATTCTGTACACGAGTATACAGGAATCAGATTTTCTTTATTTTTTAAATCGTCTCAAGAATTGATACGAACAATCATTTTTTTCTTCTTCAAATAGTAGCAGATTTCATTGTACCAATTTGTATACATGCATTTTAATCATTAGTGCAACACCTTCTATTTGCATTTTTGCCTAAATTTTTATCACAACGGCATATTTACAGGCATTCTTTTTTGTAATGAATCTTGTTCTTATGAAATGGTTCAGAATTTTACTTTAATATTTGGCCCAGACCTTTAAAAAAGCGATTTTTAGCAACAAATTTAAAGGTCAGTACTTTTAACATTTTTTTTCTCTCATCTAAAAAATATATACACATAAAATAGACTCCAGTAAATGATATACACTTGTTCAAACAACTAAAAGCAGTGTCCAAGTTCGGGACATCCTATTAAAGAACAAGAACAGAACAGACCATACGTTTTATTTAGACTTGTACATAGTACATCGTCATGCAAATAGATAAATATAACAATTATCAAGGTACATAAACTAGTTGTAAAAATATTTTCGCCTCTTTAGTTTTGGCTATAACAGTTACTATACGGTCATTTTATCTCTCCGAAGTTTCTATTACATGCCTTTGGGCTTTATAGTGTCTTTTTTTGTCCCCTTTTGCAAAGTAAGTTTTCCCACAAATCCACACAAAACTTTCCCATATTTTCTCAGCTTTTTAAATTTTAAACAAGTGGACAAAATTAGTTCATATCAAAAAAAAATTTATACATGTATTTGAAATTTTTTTTTGCCTGGACAAGCTTTTAAAACCCTAAAACCTCTAACATTTTAAAAGGGTGTACCTTTCCTTCGATAAACAGGCGGCAATAAAGAAACATCAGGAAAAAAATAAATAGCAAACCAAATGATTAAAAATATATAATTTCTATCACATTGTGAAATCCTTAATTATGAAGGTCTCTTAATTTGACACAATATTACTTCCTGTTCGACAAAATATTTCTCCGTCAATCTACTGCAAGACTGTGTGTGAAAATAATTTACCTTAGATCGCAATATTTGAATTCAACTAGAAAAGATATTTTTTAGAAAATAATCGTTTTAGAATTTGAAGACCCTTCTCATGCCAATCAAACATGTTAGATGAAAGAAAACGGAACTGTGCAGGAAAATTCCAGCAATCTTAGTGTTCTCTTTCTATTGCTCGGAAAGTAATTAATTAGCAATTCATCATCTGGAAAGCGCCACTAAAGCAGCCAACGTCACTGTTAGCTGGAAGATGAAACACAATGCGAGAACTATTGTGAAATTAAGTGGTCTAAAAGGGAGATAATAGACCGCCCCGTCACGTGGACAAACAAATACCAATACGACTCTTGAGAATTCGTATTTGACATTAAAATGTCATTGGATATATGGCAAGATCCATTATAGAGTAACTCTGGGTAATTTCTGGCATTTATTTCTATCTTGTTATATTGAAATAGCCTCGGTTTGTTGTCGGAAAGTCGACGTGTATTTTATCATTTGCGTATTATTGACATATATAAAAATGACCTCATCATTGCACTTGTAAATGCACTTGATATAACTATGTTAATCATGATAAATACAAACATCATAAAATGAATATTTCTCAGTTTTTTCATGCTTTGAAGTTCTATCAAAGACCACTCCCTCCTTGAAAAAATGCTTTTATTCTTATTCCCTATTGATGAGATGACGTACTTTTTCACAACCGACTTTACTTTTTCGATATGGTGACATTAAAAAAAAGAACTGAATGAATGGCCTTGATAAATCACTTGTTACAAAATCAATGACAAAAAAACATAACTTTTGCTTGACACATTGTCATCTTTTCCACTTTTGTATCTACTCAAACTCTTGTAAATAATATTTCAAATGGTTATAATTCACTTTGTTTTGTGCACAATCATAAATTCAAGACAAATAATTTCATTTGGGTCAAATTCTAGTAATTTTAGTCAGACAAAAGGGAATTTCTGGGATAAAAAATGTGACCAACAGCCCCCCAAAAAAAACACACATTTTTTTGGGAACTGTACAAAATAAATTGTGTGTGGCAGAAAAATAAATATTTTATTTAGAAAAAATGCGTTTTATTAAAAATAAAAATGTCTATAGAGCCCTAATAACAAAAATTTGGGGTTTTTTATAAAGAAAATAAAAATAAATTTCCCTTGTGAAATTTTCATATCTAATGAACTGGGTACCAGAAAACACATACCATGTAAATGGTTATGGTATCAGTTTTGAAAACGATGATAAAGAGATTGTTGAAATGAAAATGTTAACTACTATTTTAACGATTTTAACAACGATAAAGGCGGCTTTAAATACATGTATATCTACAGCGATAGCGATTATCATATCGATATCGATTCATGTTGCGATTTTTGTAACGACGAATTAAGATTTCACAGTATGAAAACGATATTGATTGTTGATATTGGAAGTAAGAATGTAGAAATTGTAAATACTATGAAAATAGCGATGATGGTAACATTTATTGTAATAACGATAAAAAAAACAATGGTGCAATTGTTACCTATGCTTGTATATAACTGTGATGATAGCAAACATTGCATAGATGATGAAACAAAAGAAAGATAAAAAGATTTTTATATTGCTGATGTGGCAAAAATTAAAAACCATGAGAAAAATGCTGAAAATTTGATGATAACAGTGCTGATGATAACGGTGAATAGGTGGGTGAGATTACGATGGGAAAAATTTATGAAGGGTTTTAAAGATGATGAAAGTGGGTGATGATTTAAATTTTGATGATGACAAAAATGATGAAATGCGATGAAATTTGTGGGTGAAAGTGCGATGATTACGAAAGGGAATGATTTAAAGTTTTTCGGTTTTAAATTTAATAAACCCAAAAGGTATACTGATAATGTTAATTATTTTCAAAAACATACATACATCAGACAGTAATAAGATAGTATTGCTTTTTGACACCCTTTACTAATCAAATTATTCAGTGTTTTTCTGATCAGTGTTTTTAAACAATTCTCTAAACTGTTTGTCCTGGTTCTGTTTTATCAACTTATAACAGGGATTATAGAGATGGAGTATTGAAAGCCTGTGAAACAAAGCCGTCTGTAATTTCATTTGTTTCATGTTCCATTGATATATGACAAAAGCCCCTGTTGTAACGATTGACGTTGCATTTCAATGTGAATTTACCTAAAACATCTCAAAATCACAGGGGTTTGCGCATTGACCCAGTCTTCTATTATAAGGAAGAAATATCGGAGAAGACTGAAAGTTGTATGAATTTTAACTGTATGTAATATTATTTCTGACTAGTGTAAGCATTGTATAAAAATTATGTAATATTATTTCTGATTGTTGTAAACGCTGTATTTGTATATTATTGTGTATGCTGTATTTGTAATTGCATTTTTATGATCAATAGAAAATCTTTATTATTTTTTATTATTATAAATAAAAGATCAATTTTGTAATGTTTTATTTGTAATTATTTTCATGATAAAAATAAAAAATCAAATTTTGTTTTTATTGTAATGGTATGTTTATGATAAAAATAAAAGATCAAGTTTTATTTGAAGTGGTATTTTTATAAGTAATTTTTTATTTGTGTAATGATCTTATGTAGATAATACATTTAAATTATGTTTTATATGTAACGGTATGTTCTGATCAATCAAGTTATGTTTTATTCATCATGGTTTTATTGTTTTCTTCTTCACAAACATATTGTTTTATTTCCCTACTGTAAGAAAGAAATACAATGTAATATGTTGTATAAAATGGTTTTGTTTTCCTTTTTATTCACATTAAGTTTTTGAGACCTTTAAAATGATTTCAAAATGCTAAACAAACTACGTGTATTATGAAACTAAAATATTTTCTTAAACATATGTATGTAAAGATTAATGGCATATACAATGTATGTATTATGTTCTTTTTTTAGACCATCTGAATATAGAAAATGCCATGAAAAATGCTTTCAAGTGGAATATAGACATTCGA